TGTCCTTTAAAACAGCCTTCCCAGCATTGAGAGGCTGAGGCAGGAGGATCGTCACGAGTTTGAGGCCAGCCTGGGGCACATAGTGAGTTCAAGGCCAGCCTGAATTACAGAGCAAGACCTGGTCTCAAAAATAAATAAGTAGAATAAAACAGTCTTTCAATTAAAACAGTCACAGAGGGAGAGAGCTAGGGGGACCGCTCATCTGCCTACCCAGGATGCCCCCCTTTTAGAACTGAAAGCCCAACCACCCCTGGTGGTACACGCCTTGTAATCCCAGAACTTGGGAGGATGAGGCAGGAGGATGCCAGAAAAATTAAGTTCTACTTCTGGCTCACCTAAGTCAGAGGTCTGGGATGCTCTCCTGTCCTAGTGCTCGGCTCTCTCTCCCTGAAACCCTCCTTCCCTGTCCAGAAGGAAGGGGAGAAGCTGAGGGAAGATGAACCTCACCCAGGGCACTGTGGTCCCGTCCTGCCCCTGTCCAGGCAGGAATACCAGCTCTGCCACCCACCAGCCACGGCCTCTGCCAGCTCTGTAAATGGTCCTCTGAGACCTGGAACCAGTGAGCTGGGTCACAGAGCTTCCCATGCTGACCTTGAATCAGCGCCCCTTTCCTCTGGCCGCCAGCAGCCTCAGTTTATCCATGTGTGCCACGAGAGGGCTGCACGGCCAGGCCAGCTTCGTTACTTACACGGGTCCCAGGGTGAGACAGCGGGGTGCCGATCAGCTTCTGCTGACAGCATCTGGCCAGCCCAAGCTGCTGCTCCTGTGGGGAATGAATGACGTCTACCCCAGGCCAGTGCCCTGTGCTCAGGCGGCCCCTGCCACCCTCAGCCAGGGGCCTTTGCACCCCATACACTGCGTGAGCAACTCAAGGAGGGGCCTTAGGGTTGGAAGGCATGGACAGGGCGTCAGAGGACACAAACATGCCCAGGTCAGGCTCTGCCCGTGCCAGGACACGTTGTCCCCAGTTGAACACCACGGGCTCCAGAGCCAAGCTTAAGGGCTCTGTCTGAGCAGACTGACAAGGGTCCACTTCCCCTCCTCCTGCATAACAAGCTGCCCTGGTATACATCCGGGGGCAACACCTGGGTCCCTCCTGGGACCCCCGTCAACTTATCTTTTTTGACCCTTACAAAGGGCCACTTGGTCCCCCCTTCTGGTCCCCACTTCCTGGACAAAGCTTGGGTGTCTTGACCCTGAGACACACACGAAGCTTCTAGCAGGTGGATCCCCTACCTCTTCCCTGAGGAAACGAAGTGAACAGAAGAGAAAACCCACAGCTTCATCTCCAGCAGGGCCTTCTGTTCTGCTCACCCCATACATACGGTGACATTTTTCTCATGGCATTTTTCAGAGCTGTCCAATTCAGTGGCACCTGGCACTCGTAGCTACTGAGAACTGAAACAAGACCTGAATTGAGACGTCTGTTAGTGTAAATCACACACCAAGTTTCAAAGACTCAACTGAGAAAAGCTGGGTGTGGTGGTGCACACCTGTGATCCCAGCACCCAGGAGGCTGAGTCAGGAGGATTGCTACAAGTTCGAGGCCAGCTTGGGCTACATAGCGAGACACTGTCTCATAAAACAAAAAGACAGAGGAAGGGGGCTGGGAAGAAGTCGGTCAGATAAAGACAAAGATAACGCTGCCTGCTGCACAAGTGCAAGGACCCAAGTTCGATCCCTGGTACCAAAAAAAAAAAATGACAGAGATAAGAGCCAGCTATTTTGTTGTTGGTGGTGGTACCGGGATCGAGCTTGGGACCTTGCACTTGCCAGGCAGGCACCAGAACCACTGAGCTAAATGCCTGGCCCTTGAGCCAGCTATCTTTGAAGGAAGCAGGTAGCATAACCCCTCTTTCTAGCTCCCAGAGTGGATCTCCCAGCCCCCTTTCTGTCAGACGAAGGAAGAGCCCAGGACACCCCAGCCTCGCCTGCTGCCGCCCCTGGGCCTCCTCAGCCCTCCTGCCCAGTGCCCCAGGAAGGCCCAGAGCCAGACCAGGAGCAGAGAAAGGGAGGAGGGGCCTCAGGGCAACCTTTTCCCGGCACCCTGCTCCTGATGCACCAGCTTGTCATTTAGAAGGAGCTGCTCTTCAAAGCCTGGGCTCCCCTGCCTCCTCTAATCTGGGGACCTCCACCAGACAGCAAGGGGCAGACGTTAGCATTGAAGCATTGGGCTCTGCGGGGCGAAAATCCAGGCAGCTGAGGGCACTGCTGCCAGAGAAATGGAGGGGCCAGGGGGCAGTTAAGAGTGCCCGCAGACTACAGCTCAAGGGCCCGTGGCCTGATTTTCATTGTTGCTTTTGGGGTTTTTGTTTGTTTGGTTGGTTTGGGGGTTTTTTGTTATTTGTTTGTTTGTTTTGTACTGGGGATCAAACTTGGGTCCTTTCGCTTGCAGGCCAGGCTCAGTGCCACTGAGCTAAATTCCCAGCTGGTTTTTGTGTATTGAGACAGGGTCTCACCATGTAGTTCAGGCTGTCCTTGAGCCCAGTATGTAGCCCAGGCTGGCCTCGAACTCCTGATCCTCCCACCTCAGCCTCCCAGGTGCTAGAATTATAGGCATCCACCAACTTTTTGGGTTTTTAAAGACAAGGTCTCTGACCGAGGATTTAACTCAGTGGCACCACGCCTGGCTCGAAAGAACAAGGTCCTGAGTTCGATCCCTGGTACCAAAAAAAAAAGACAAGGTCTCACCATGTAGTCCAGGCTGGCTTTGAACTCATGGTAATCCTCCTGCCTCAGCCTCCCAAGTGCTGGCATTGCAGAGGTGCGCCACCACACCTGGCAGTGCCCTTGTGATTTTTTTTTTTGGCCTTGTAATTTTGAAAGCCAAGAGAACCCCGGGGATGTCCCACTCTGCAAGCCCTCCCACCGTTGGACACCAAACTCGCCACGCTGGAGTTTACGTTTTCCAGGGGCCTGAACAGGCCTCAGTGTCCAGTGAACCCATCTGACGATGAGAGACTGAGGCGGGACATGAACGACCCAGCTTGAGGTTCTCAGCCCTGCTGTGCTTTGGGGACTCTCGGAAATAAACCTACCCTGGCTGCAGACAGCTCCCACAGGGACATGAACGACCACCCCAAGTTCACAGCAGCAGTGACAGGCCAGGCCACAGCCAGGCGCAAAGCCGTCCTGGGAGGCAAAGCCCACAGCAGCGCCTCATCCCACTGGAACGGGGGGAGCCTCCTGGGCCAAGGCTGCTTGGGGTCCCTCGAGCTGGGAGCGAGGCCTTGTCTGTCCTGGCCTCTGTGGCGCCAGTCTCTCCCTCTTGTGCTTCTCTGCTCACTGCTGAGCCCAGGGGACGGGGCCTCAGGCGCTTCCTGCTCTCCTGGCCTGCTGAGAGCCTGGGGAGCACAGGGTCCAAGGTCACCCTGCTGGGCTGGAGGAGGATTTGGGGCCTGCTGTGCTAGAAATGGAATAGGTTCTCTGGGGCCTGGGGTACAGGAGGGGCCTGAGGCTCTGCTGTGTTTGGCTCAGGCAAAGAAGACATGGGGAAGGTGTGCGGGGCAGAGGACACGTTTGGGAGACAGAGGGTCCGGTGACCTCACGCCTGCCCTGCAAGTGTCACTGTTCATCTGTCTGTCACCGGGACCCTAAAGAGAAGGGGTTTATTTAGGCTTATGATTCTAGTGGTTCCAGTCCATGATCAAATGGGCTCATTACAGCTGGGCCTCTGCTGGCCTTGGTCACACATGCCTGTGAGCCCAGCACTCGGGAGGCCAAGGCAGAAGATCTCTCTCTCTCTCTCTCTCTCTCTCTCTCTCTCTCCAGTACTGGGGCTGGAACCCAGAGCCTGAACACATGCCAGGCAAGTACTCTACTGGTGAGCTATATCCCCAGTCCATTTTATTATTTTATACGGGATCGCTAAGTTGCCCAGGCTGGTCTAGAGCTTTTGATCCTCCTGCCTCAGCCTCCTGAGTAGCTGGGATTACTGGCAAGTGCCATCGAGCCTGGCCTTTTCTCTTTGTTGAGACCTTTACCCTCTCCCATAACCTCATTCCTCAGCCTTCATGACTGGAAGCCAAAACTTGACTGGGATCTTTGACACCTGACCCGGGGACTCCTCCGCCACCAGTTTGGGTGGAGAGGGTAGAAAATGCTGGAAATTGCAGCAGATGAGCTCAGAGCAGGAAGTGCTGGCTCATTCATTGTCATTGTCATCATCACCATCATCACCGGTGCCAGCCTCTGGCCAGCAAAGCCTCTGCTCAAGCCACTGTCCGCTCCCAGGCTGAGTCTGCAGGATCCTGGGCCCCAGGCTGTGCCAAGTGCCATCTCTCCATTTGGAACTGGTGGTTTTGCAGCCTGTTTGTGTCTGGACCAAGACAGGAATTCTTTGTGTGTGCATGTGTGTGTGTGTATGCGTGTGTGCATGTCCCTGCCTCCGCATGTTGTGCACACAGGTCTGCACTGTGTGGACAGGGTGTCAATTCATTCCAGATGTGCTGGAACAGCCCTAATTTCACAGTTTTGGACTCCAAATCGTGGAAATGTCCTGGAAATTCCAACGTGATTATTTCTTTACACAGCGCTCCATCAGTCTCGTTCCAAAACAGGATTTGAGAACAGACGTGTAGAGTTGTGTATGAATTCAGTAGGGTTTTAAAACAACAGAAGAGGAAATCAGAGAGGGGGCGGGTAAGAGGAGACTCTGAACTTCATAACTCCGTCCCTGGTGCCTTCTGAGAATAGGGCACAAGTGGATCTTAGGAGTTCCAAAAAGCCAGAGCTAAGAGGGAAATGGATGACATGGATCCAGTCTTAGGACCTCCAGGACTCTGCCCTAAACAGTCCTTTGAAAGGAGATCAGTGTGACACAGGGGCAGAGATGAACACGTTCATGGTCCACCTAAGATTTGTGCATTTTGCTGGGCATGGTGGCACATGTTTGTAATCTCAGCACAAAGGAGGCCGAAGCAGGAGGATCCCTCCAAGTTTGAGGCCAGCTTGGGCTACATAGTGAGACCCTGTCTCAAAAAACAACAACAAAAACCAAAACCAAAACAAAATGTGTGCATTTCACTGTAAACAAACATTACCTCAAAAGGGGGGAAATCTTAGGTGTGCTCTTTTGTGAGTTGAGAAATAGTCACTTGTACAGCTCAGGTGTAAGGTCCTGTGCTCTTCCCAGGAATTCTTTCCAGGTTCTTGTCCTGAACAAATAATTGGAGAAGAAATGCTCAGAAGATAGCAAGGGTTTACATTTATTAAAGGTAGGAAAATAAGCGGGCTCTGCAGAGTGAGAGTGGGCCCCTGGAAGGGCTTACAGGGGCCATGCGGTTAATGGCGGCTGTCTTTTGTACCACTGAGCTAAATCCCCAGCCTATTCTGGGTATTTTTTATAATAAAAAATCCAGGGCCCTAAGAAATGAAGCAGACTTTGAGGATCCCATGCATCCCTGTAAGACACTGAGCCCTCAGAGCCACCCATGAGGGAGGGGTGGTCTCTAAGTGTGGCTTTTTCTCCTGCTCCTGGCCCAGAACTCCTCCCCAAGGCTGCTCCAGAAACTAGGATTTCTCTTCCCCGAAGTGCCTTCCGTCTCGCAGCAGCAGGCCACCGGCAACCGTCTGATCTGCTGTGAAGCACGCCTGGGGCAGCAGGTCCTGCACCCTCCGCCCTGCAGCCGGCCAGCTGCGCCCTGTGAGGAATCTGCACCGACAGGCCCGCTGGCTCCCAGCCCTCTGTGACCGCAGGCCACACCCTGCCCGCCCCCACGCTGCACGGCTGTCCCAGCTCTAACTGCACCAGACGACAGGGCTGGGGGCTTCGGGACAGCCACGCACCTGAGGGGTCCGGAAGGGGCAGTGTCCCGGGCCTCTCCCCATCCCACCTCCGCAGTGGCCTTTACATAAACCAGGAGACCCAAGTGCTTCCCTGACTCTGAGAGTCGCACAAGCGAAGTAATGGAACCCGAGGAGGTGTGGCCGGCATCCAAAGCCAAAGGGGCACTTTTGGGGACTGGGCCCCATCTGTGGCGACATTATCTCCCCGGAGACACTGAGGCGGGTTCGAGGGCACGCTTGCTGCTGGGGAGAGAAATGTCCGCCTTCTTGATGACCAAGGCTGTCCCAGGAGACCCCCAAGCCGCCACGGTGTAGGGGAAGAGGAGAGGTTGCTGATCCCAGCCTGCAGCGCGTTCCCCACTGATGCGGGGGTTTCCCAAAGTCCTCAGGCTGTGGGGACCCCTGACGGCCACCAGGGGGCGTCTGTGACTGGATGGCACTGGGGAGAGGGCTCCTCTCTGCCCAGCACAGTCTTGGCCTTTCGCCCATGAAGTCATTTAGGGTTCAAATGACCCCATGAAGTAGGTACGAGCGTCATCTTCAATTCCCTGTGAGGAAATTGAGGGCTCAGGGAAAGCCAGTGACTTGTATGCAGCCGCCTACCTAGCAGAGCACTGAGTGGGGATTCAGTGATTGATACTGGACAGGCTGGCCTCAAACTCACAGAGGTCCTCCTGCTTCAGCCTACTGAGGGATGGGACGGCAAGCATGTGCCATAAATCCCAGCGAAATAGATATATATATGTATATATGAATTTTTTTTTTTTGGTACTGGGGATCGAACTCGGGTCCTTGCACTTGAGCAATAGGTGGCGAAACCACTGAGCTAAATCCCTGGCCCTACATGTGTATTTTCGAGAATTATTCCATGCAGACTGTAAAATAAATTTTTAACCACAACCTATATCTGATCTGTTCTGTTCTTTTTTTTTTTTTTTTGGTACTGGGGATCGAACTCGGGTCCTTGCACTTGAGCAACAGGCAGCGAAACCACTGAGCTAAATCCCCGGCCCATGAATTTTTTTTTTAACAGAGAAGGAAATGTGGGCCCAGAGAGGGGCAATGACTGGCCTAACATTGCATAGTGTGCCAGGACTAAACTGTCTCCTGCACCTGATTCTGCCTCTGGGGCTTGTCCCCTTAGTGCAGGGCTGGGCAGGGCTGATTTGGGCCGAAGGGCTGGTGCACAGGGAGTGAAGGAGTAGGTGGAAGGGCCTAGAATCCCTGGCGAGATCAGCTCCTCCGGCCAGGGAAGAGAACAGTCAGCCAAGGGGAAGCCAGGGCCAGAGAGGAAGTGCCTGGCCTGGCCCTCACAGCCGGTCCTGGCCACAATGTGCGGGGAGGACCTCATTTTCCAGACTCCCCAGTGTCCCCCGCACCTCAGTCACTCCCAAGATGCAGGGCAGCTGGCTCAGCCTGGGAGCCCTGAGCTGTGCCCCAGACCCACCCACCGTTCCTATACCTGGGGACATGGTGCCACCCAGGACTGAGAGCCAGGTCCTTGGAGTTGCAAGCTCAGGCTGCATCCCCCGCCCTGCAAGGGCTGTCAGTGAGGCCCACACCTCTGGGGAACAGGGGAACAGGCTGGTGACTGTTCAGCCTCAGAGCCAGGCACCCGGAGAGGGCCAGACAGGCTCAGGAGGGACAGCTGACAGCAAGCAAGGGCTGAGGCTGCTCCTGGAGCTGTCTTGGAGCTGAGGAGCCAGTAGGTCAGTGTGTGTGGAAGCGCCGCCCGTTCCACGGCAGCCATTCGAAGGCTGATGTGTGTGTTGTTTAGATTCAGCTCACACTGTTGGGTGCCAGCCGTGTGTGGGCACCAGGGACGCTAGGGAACAAGGTCAGGAGCCTGCAGGAGTGGGGAGGTCAGACACAGACTGCTGCCACAGCAACGCCCAGCTAGTGGGACCAGCCTGGGGTTGAGAGGTCCAAGAAGGCTTCGAGGAGGAGGCACCACTGTGGGAGCAGAAAAAGTCAACCTGACAGTACATCTGAACTCTTCTTGTCCCTCTCCCTCCCCACCTCCCTCCTTCCTCCATCTCTGGATCCCCTCCCACTTGGAAAAGATCTGTCTCCCTCTTTACCATTCTCTCTCTCTCTTTTTCTTTTTTGGAGACAGAGTCTCATTATGTAGTCCAGGCTGGCCTTGAACTCCCAGGGATCCTCCTGCCTCAGCTTCCCAAGTTCTGGGATCACAGGCTTGCAGTAGCACACCCAGCTCTTTTTTTTTCTTTTAAATGTAAACATTATGTACTATAAACATGAACTAATAAAAACAAAATTGAAAAAAATACATTACAGTATGAAGGAGAAGAAAAAAAGAGAGAAAGGAAACCCAACATCAAAGGGCAGAGGTTCCATGGAGGCAGGGAGGCTGGAGGAAGCGGTGTGAACCCAGGTCCCAGCAGTGACAGTGTTGGTGGGCGCAGGGCTGGATGAGGGTCCCGAAGAGAGGAGGCTGAAGGGTCCCCTCGATGCCCTCTGCCCAGGAGGTCCAGTCGGCTGAGCAGGGCCCAGGGCCAAGGCTGTCTCCTGACTCAGGCCCTAAGGGCCAGCTCAGCACTCTGCCCCCACCCGCCCCTCTCCACTATTGAAGCCTCTGCAGGGGGTCAGGCCACAGCCACACCCGTGACCAGAGCCTTCCATGCTCTGAGGGGCAGTGCCACCTGGGGTGAGGTGCTCGAAGAGCCAGCAGCTGCTCGGGGACCAGGTACAAGCCTGGGTGAGGCAGCTGGGCTGGCACCAGAGTGGGTCCTGGGGGGAAGGAGTCCTCCTGACCGCAGCGTGGGTGGCCCCTGCTGGGGAGGGGTGGCCTGGGCACCTGGCCCAGTGGGGAGTGTTGGGTTGCAGGACTCGGGGCTGGGCCCCATCAGGCTGGGACCACTGAGAGGCACAAGACAGGAGCCAGGCCGGGGAGAGGCCACTTGGGAGCCTCAGCCTTCCAACCAGGAGGTGCTTGAGCCCAGCCCTGTCCCTGGCACAGTGTGATCCGGGAATGGGGCCCAGCACCAGCTCAGCCCCTGCGGCAGGGACAGAGACTGTGCCCACCCCCTCCTGTCCCCGTCCTCCTGGCTGTCATCCCAAACAGGGACGTGGCCGGACCTGTGAGCTACATGGACGCTTTTTGCAGGTTTGGAGGAGCGCCCTGTGCCATGAAGCTGGTGCAGGCTGCCGCCCTCTGGTGGGCGCTAATGCTGCTGCCTGGGCTGGGCACTGGAGGGAAGGAAGCCCCAGGAGAGGCGTCCTTCTACTATGGGACTTTCCCACCGGGTATGTGTGCCCCTCTGTTGCCCCGTGCTCTGGCTGTGTTTGTCTGTCCATCTGTCTGTGTCTCTGGGCTGCCAGCCATGGCTGACTTGCCAGTGAGAATGGTGGCTTACTTCCTTACTGTAGGATAAAAAAGCATACCTTCATGGGGTTGTTCTAAACTTAAAAATGAAAAGCCAAGGCAGGGTGGTTCCACCGCCTGCCTCACAAGCACAAGGTCCTGAGTTCGATCCCTGGCACCCCTCAAAAAAAACCAGAAAAGAAAAACCAGGTGCGCACACTTGTCATCTCAGGCACTTGGAAGGCTGGAGAAGGAGGATCTCAAGTTTGAGCCCCACTTGGGCCATTCAGCAAGACCCTGTCTCAAAATAAAAAACGGCTGGGGGTGTAGCTCAGCGGCAGAGTGATTGCCTAGGCCCTGGGTTCCGTTCCCATCACTGCCAAAAATATAAATTTTTAGAAGTTCCTAACAGAGTTTGTGAGGTTACCAAGTGCTATAGAGACAAAGGCTAACGAGAGCTGAGTGTGCAGAAAGTGAGGGACACAGCTCCCCGACCCTGCCCTGGCCTCCGGCTCCCAGGGTCCCTGCTGCCACAAGGCTGGGGCAGCCTGGGCCCAGCTTGGGTCTCCACCTGCAGGCTTCTCCTGGGGCGTGGGCAGCTCTGCCTACCAGACAGAGGGTGCCTTGGACCAGGATGGGAAGGGACCCAGCATCTGGGACGCCTTTACGCACAGCAGGAAGGGACAGGTGCTCGGGGACAAGACCGCAGACTTGGCCTTCGATGGCTACTACAAGGCCCAGGTGAGCGAGGGACGCACTGCGTGTTTAGGAGGGGCGCACAGAGGGAGGCGGGCGGCATTGTCAACATTGTCAACCAGCGCGGCCCCAAGGGGCAGTGAACCAGGACCCCAGTCCCCCGACGGGAGTGGCAGACCAGTGCCACCACCCCAGGGCCCACAGGGCACAGTGGCCTGGCCCCTGCCTGAGAATCGCCCCCTGTGGAGAAACGGGACCTGCTCAGCCTCAGCACCCACTTCCTTCTTGGATCGACATCTGAGGGGATTCATCACCCACGCTTACGAGACCCCCAGGCGGCCTTCTCCAAGTGCCCAGAGTCCCACATGGTATGTGGCTCTCGGCTGGTGCCCAGCGGGGAGAGGGAGCAGGTGGCGCCAGCCCTGCTGTGTAAGGCGGAGACAGGCCCCTCCTCAGCCGCTCAGAGCCACACCCAGCAGCTGTGAGCCCACCACCCCGTGTCCCCTTCCCTGGCTGTTCTTCCACACAGGAGGACGTCCTGCTGCCGAGGGAGCTGCGCGTCCACCACTACCGACTCTCCCTGTCCTGGCCCCGGCTCCTGCCCACAGGCGTCCGAGGTGAGCTGCCCTGCGGCGTGGTCCCTCTTGAGACAGATACCACAGTGTCCCAGGCTGGTGGGGGAGCGGGGTGCTGGGGCTCAGGTACCATCTGGCCCGCAAACCCCAGGACCAGGCGATGGGGCCCCAGAAGCCGTGGCCACGGTCCTTTCCCGCGGGACCCTCTTCCTCCCACAGCCGAGCAGGTGAACGAGTAGGGGATCAAGTTCTATAGCGACCTCACTGATGCCCTCCTGAGCAGCAACGTCACCTCCATCGTGACCCTGCACCACTGGGATCTGCCGCAGGTGAGGCGCACAAGGGGAGACTGGGGAGAGGGGGCGGCCAAGGGGGCGCCGGGACCTGGACCGGGCTCAGGACCCCAAGGTGTGAGCAGTTTAAGAAATCCTGACTCACGTTTAGCCCGTCTGTGCTGGGGTAACTGGGGACTTCCAGAGGACTGGGGTTTATTTCTCAGTTCCGGGTGCTGGGAAGGCCGAGGCCAAGGCGACCCAGGTTGCGAGTCTGTCTGTGGCCACAAGATGGCGCCCTGAACGCTGTCCTCTGCCGGCAGAAGGCAGAGGGGAGTCTGGAGGCTGCGAGAGGTGCTTGGGCCTGAGCTAAAGGGACTTGAAACTGGGGCTTATTCTGGGGGCCCCTACGCAGGGCCTGGGGGAGGGGAATGGAAGCCCCTTCTGGCTGCCACTCACCTGTCCCAGAGACTCACCTGTCCCAGAGACTCCCCCAAGTCCACCTGAGCCTGAAGCACACAGAACCCAGGCCCGGGAGGTCTCCGACTTCTGCAGGCCCTGAATCCCGTTCTGCCCAGTGCCAGCTCTCGTCTCTTCACAGCTTACATCACAGCTGCTTTTCCCAGGATCAGACCTCTCCCTGGGCATTTTCTTTGTTTTTTGAAACAGGGTCTTACTATGTAGTTCAGGCCTCAAACTCATGGCGATCCTCCTGCCTCAGCCTCCTGAGTGCCAGGATCATAAGCTAAGCAAGTGCTCTGCCACTGAGCTACATCTCCAGTTCTTATTTTTTGAGAAAGGGCCTTGCTAAGTTTCCCAGTCTGGCCTTGAACTTGTGATTCTCCTGCCTCAGCCTTCTAAGTAGCTGGGATTATAAGCGTGTGCCACCATGCCTGGCATTTATTCTCTGTATTTTGATGCTAAGCATGTGCTGTACCACCAGGTGCACCCCCAGTCCCGAGTTTCCCTTTAAATTGTTCAAAAGCTCCCACCTCATCCCGGGTCCTTGCTCCATCCCTGAGCAAGGCCCTCTAAACATGCTCCCTGCTGAAGTCACCGTGTTTCTCCCAAACACGTGGCCAGCTGGCTGCAGGTGTCCCCGGGTGCCCACCTCTCTGTTGGCAGCTGCTCCAGGCGAGGTTCGGGGGGTGGCAGAATGCCAGCATGGCCGGCTACTTCCAGGACTACGCCGACCTGTGCTTTGAGGCCTTTGGGGACCGCGTGAAGCACTGGATCACATTCAGCGACCCTCGGGTAAGCGGGGCCTGTGGTGAGGAGGCCAGCATGTCCCCCATGCTGATCACGGGATCTGCGGTCTCCACTTGCTGTCCCCGCAGGCCATGGTAGAAAAGGGCTACGAGACAGGCAAGCACGCGCCCGGCCTGAGGCTGCCTGGCACCGGCCTGTACCAGGCGGTGCACCACGTCCTCAAGGTGAGAGGCCTGCAGCAGTGGCGTCACCACGTTCCTCGTGTCCGTCAGCCGCTCAGGGCTAAGGTCACTGGTGGTTGAGCAGGACAGCGGTGTAAAGGTCAGGAGTGGCTGGCTCTGGGCTGCGGGTGCAGGGGGAGGAGTAGCTGGGAAGCAGCACGGCACAGCAAGGCCGACACCCTGCAAGGCCCAGAAGTGGCTTCAGGTGACGATGACTGGGAACACAGGACACTTAGTGCACAAGGTGGATGCTCTGTTTGAACTGGATGATGCATCAGACCCTCAGACTCACAACAGGGAGAAGACTTGCTCCATTTGGCTTCTTTTTTGTGATCTTTTGTTTTTTTGACACGGGATCCAGGCTGACCTTGAACTCGTGGTGATCTTCCTCCCTCAGCCTACCAAGTGCTGGGATTACAGTTGTGTGCCACCACCTTGGGTTGGCTTGTGATTTCTTTTTTTTCTTTTTGGTACCAGGGATCGAACTCGGGACCTTGCACTTTCGAGGCAGGCAGCAGAACCACTGAGCTAAATCCCCAGCCAGGGCTTGTGATTTCTTAAACTGAGTATTTATTTATTTTGGTAGCAGGGATCGAACTCAGGATCTCACGCTTGCAAGGCAGGCATGGCACCACTGAGCTAAATCCCCAGCCAGGGCTTGTGATTTCTTAAACTGAGTATTTATTTATTTTGGTAGCAGGGATCGAACTCAGGATCTCACGCTTGCAAGGCAGGCATGGCACCACTGAGCTAAATCCCCAGCTCTTAAACTGAGTAAAGGGCAGCGCTCTGAAGACATCTATAGTAATGAACATGGACGTTGTTTTTCAGACCTTCTCAACTAACTGTAAGACAGCTGGATAGATGTGACTCCCACCCTGTCTTTGACATGTCCAGTGTCATGAGACAACCCCAGGCTCATTATTTCTTTCTAATTAGTCACTGCTGGCTGGCAGCAGTGAGAAGGTGAGAGTTAAAGTTCTCTGGGCATAACAGATGATATCCCCAGCTTCTGCAGCTTTGAGATGTTCAGTTGTTTAAATCCATGTTGGTCCAACTTCAGCAAGTGTCAGAATCCTGCTGGGCATGGTGGCGCACTCCTATAATCCAGTACTCACGATGATGAGGCAGGAGGATGTCCGTGATTTCGAGGGCAGCCTGGACTCCTTGGCGAGATCCTATCTCAAACAAAATGTCAGAATCTCATGGGGGCCTCATGAAAACACATCGCTGGGCATCCCTCCTGGAGTTCTGACCCAGACCTGTCTCGGGGCCAATGAATTCGCCTTTCTAACCAGGCCCCAGGGAGCAGCCTGGGATCCACCGCCCCAGCTTGCTTTTGCCTGAAACACTGCACTGGCCTTTGGAATCGGCTCAAAGGCAGGTGGGCCAGTCATGGCGGAGAATAGGAGAGCAGCCAGCCTGCTCATGTTCAGTCCCCTCTCTCGAGACACCCACTAGACACTCCTCACTCACCAGGCACCTGTGGGAAAAGAAGTAAGAAAAACAGGAACGAGAGAGCAACAATAAGTAACGACACAAAGTGGTTTGTGGCAGATTTACCCCAGGTCTCCTCTACAGCACAAAAAAAGTTAAGTGCCCGTGGAAATCAGAGAAAGGGAGACTGTGGATTGGGATAATCAAGGCCGGACTTAGATGGGCTCTCTAGAGCTAGGAGGGAGAGGGAGGATGCCCCAGGTTGAAAGGAGGAAAAGAAATGAATGAGCCAGACACCCATGGTGAATTTGTGTCCCTCTTGCAGGCCCACACCTACACCTGGCATTCGTATGACAGCAGGTGGCGCAGCCGGCAGCAAGGTGAGTCCAGACCTCCGCACCCCCTCAGAGTGGACCTGTGCTGGGGGAGCCATGTCACCACTTCCAGGCCCTTCTCTCCGTTAAGGCCTGGTGGGGATTTCGCTGAACTGTGACTGGGGGGAACCCTTAGACATCAGTGACCCCGGGGACATAGAGGCTGCTGAGCGATACCTGCAGTTCTGCCTGGGCTGGTTCGCCAACCCCATCTATGCCGGCGACTACCCCCAAGTCATGAAGGAGCGCATCGGTGAGCAAGTCTCATTTCCTTTTGCTTTTGGGAGACAAGGTCTCACTATGTAGTCCAGGAATGGTCTCGAACTTGCAGAGATCCTAACTCATATTTCCTCTTTTAATTTCACCTAAAAACATAAACATTGTACATAGGTACTGGGTACGATGTAATGTTTTGATGCATGTTAACATTGTGTAATAAGATGTAAGTCAGGTTAAACATATCTGTCTCCCCCGACCATTTCTCACTTCCAGGGATGGGGTGTAGCTCGGTGGCAGAGCACTTATCTAGTATGTGCCAAGCCCTTGGTCCAATCCCCAGGGCTGGAAAAAACAATAAGTTAAAAATTATTTGTGATAGCTGGGTATGGTGCAGTTACTGGGTAGTCAGTCTCCTTCTAAAAATGGTTCGCCAAAAATGTGCTGTTGGGTTTTGTGGTGCTCGTGTCTCTTGCTAGAGTTGGTTTCCAGGTTCTTCTCATCTCTAACATAGAATTGAACAAAAAACGGTGACAAAGTTTATTTGAAAAAGTAAAAGCAAAGAGTAAGGGAGAAACTGGCTCTGCAGAGCTCGGATAAGAGGAAAAAGCAAGATAGAAGTACACCCTGGAGTATGCAGGCCAGACTATCATGAGGAAAGCCACAACAGCAAGCGCTTCTTGGCAACTGCGTCCTTATATGCTGTCCAAATCTGGAGGAAATCTGCAAGAACTCCTATGTGTGGGTCCTGAGAGGCGGTGCTGGGATCCCATACCTCAGGCTGAGGCCAGGTCCAGGCCATCCTGTTGAAAACCTGCTCCAGTTCTCGGGAGAAGTCCACGTGCAGGGCTTTGGGAACTGTTCTGTGCATGTGTCTTGGATCTTGTAATTAACAGGTTACACCTGCTTCCCCAGCCAGCTCGCCAAACCCTAATCTCCTGTCTCAGTGGTACACACCCATAATTCCAGTACTTTAGGAGACTGAGGCAGGAGGATTGCAGGGAGTTCGAGGCCAGTCTGGGCTACATAGTTCAAGGCCTGCTTGGACAACATAGTGAGACCCAGATTCAAAAGTAAAAAAAACCCATCAATCATTAAACAAACAAAAGGAAAAGCCAAAGTTTTATTTTCCATGCAGGTGAATCCTAAAGTCCAGCTTTCATGTCACCATGCCAGTTCATCAAGGGACACAGCAATAGTAACCTAAGATACAGACTTTAAATTCTCCTTTGTGCTCACAGGAAGAAAGAGCACAGAGCAGGGCCTGGATCGGTCTCGGCTGCCAGCGTTCTCCCGCCAGGAGAAGGGCTACATCGAAGGCACCTCTGACTTCCTGGGACTGGGTCATTTCACCACACGGTACATCACTGAAAGGAACCGCCCCTCTCTCCAGGGGCCCAGCTACCAGAACGACCAGGACTTGGTTGAACTTGTTGACCCAAGTTGGCTGGATTTGGGGTCTCAAAGCCTCCATTCCGTACCGTAGGGGTTCAGGAGGCTCCTCCACTTTGCTCAGGTTCGTATCACTCTCAGCTACCTCAGGACCTTTGATTTGCGTTCACTGCTCACAGCATAGCCCTGGAACTCCAGGGCAAGTTAGTGACACAATAAATCCAGTACCGCCTTCTTCAGAAGCTGCTTGATGCAGGCCCCGCAGACAGACACCCACAGGGATGACCACGTCCACTGAGGGAGCTCCAGTCATTCTGCTGCCCTTCTCACCTGACATGGAACACAGGAAAGAACAGGACCAGAGGTGCATTTTCCCGACAAGGCCTATTCACCGAAAAACATTTTCATGTAAACTTGCCTCCTGGCTACACTCATCTCTAAATAAATGTGTTAACTGCCACATAGTGTATGCAAAAATATACTTGATTTGAATGTGGCAGCCTTAGCCAGGTGCATACCTGTAATCCCAGCTCTCGGGAGTCTGAGGCAGGAGGCCATCCTGGGCTACAGGGGAAGTTCAAGGTTGGGCTGGACTATAGTCAGGCCTGTCTCAGGAATATCAAAAAACAAACAAAACCATGGCAGTCTTAAAAACAAAACAAAACAAAAACCATGGCAGTCTTTAATACACATTGCCATGAGCTCTGACCCAGAAACCCACATTAGAATTTTTTTCTGTAGATCACTTTTTTTTTTTGAGTTAGGGTTTTGCTATGTAGCCCGGGTTGGCCTTGAACTCCTGGTGAACCTCCTGCCTCAGCCTCCCAAGGGATCCTCCTCTGGGATTATGAGTGTGCACCACCACACCGAGCTATGTCAGAATTTTTAAAATATCTATTTCTCTGACTTGCTTTCAGACTCAATATGGCAATCCTTCCATATACGTGGCAGAAAATGGAACAGCTCAAAAGTTACATTGTACACAATTATGTGATGAGTGGAGAATTCAATACCTTAAAGGATACATCAATGAAATGCTGAAAGGTAAGACACAAACCAAGATCCTATTTTTCTAATATCAACACAATTTAAACTTGCTTCTAAATCTTGTAAGATTTTCCTATTACCTTTACAATATTATTCTCCTAATAAAAGTATTCAACATGGAATGAAATGTCTTTGCAGCCCTGAGAGACGGTGCTAACGTAAAAGGGTACACTTGCTGGTCTCTACTGGATAAGTTTGAATGGGAGAAGGGCTACACAGACAGATACGGACTCTTCCACGTGGACTTCACCGCCAGAAGCAAGCCTCGCTACCCCAAGGCTTCAGCTCACTTCTACAAGAAGATTGTTGCGGCCAACGGGTTTCCCGGGCCCAGAGAGGTAGGACTGACACCTGTGCTGCGCTGACACCTTGTTTTTCTTTTTGAGACAAGGTCTCGCTATGTAGCTTAGACTGACCTTGAACTCACCGTGTAGCCAGGCTGGCTACTCATGGCGATCTTCCTGCCTCAGCTTCCCAAGTGCTAAGATCACAGACATGGGCCACCACACCTGGCAAAAAGTATTCATTTTATCCTACATTTATTTTATTTTATTTTATTTTTATTTTATTTTTTGGTACTGGGAATTGAACTAGGGTCCTTGCACAGCAGGCAGCAAAAAACACTGAGCTAAATCCCCGGCCTAGCCTATGTTTATTTTAAGAATAACTTTGATCGGTGTAAGACAACATCACTCACCAAGTGGGTCTTTATTAGGTGCAGAGCTGGTGCCAGGAAGCCTTGGAGACTTGCTCTGTCAGCACCCAGATGCGCACTGCAGGTGAGTACACCCTCCTCCTTCTGCTGCTGACTAAACTGTAAGTCAGTCCCTCAAATCACTTACAAGTAAAAATGGGCATTTTTTTTTACTATGAAAGTGTCAAATTGTTACTTCTCAAGTATTTTAAACATAAAAAAACAGGCCGGGGACTTAGCTCAGTGGTTCCAGCCCCTGCCTCACAAGTGCAAAGGTCCCGAGTTCGATCCCCGGTACCAAAATAAATAAATAAATACATAAAAACACATACACTGTTAAAGAAATACTTTAATCACTAATTTCATTCTTCACACTGCAACTTTTTGTACTGACCACTTTTGGTGAAGAGGGCAAAGAAGAGCCAAGGCCACTCCCATCCTTCTCCTGCCTCCCTCAGCTTCCTACCTTGCAGCAGCACCATTCTGTGTGCACGGGGTCTGCAAGAGCCAGAGGTGCAGAATAACCCGGACGCAACTATGTATCAGGCAAAGCCAACACAAGTGGGGCCTGATGGCACACACCTGTAACCTTGGCGCTCTGGGAGGCTGAGGCAGGAGGATCACAAGTTTGAGCCCAACTTGGACAACTGTGATGAGATGCTGTCTCAAAATAAAGGCTGAGGATATAGCTCAGTGGGAAGTCCCTGGGTTCAACTCCAGTACTGAAAAAAAAATGCCAAGATATATCACTTGTTTCTTTGAATTGTACCTTTCTCTATAATGACAATCACAAAAACTACTTCCTTTTTATTTTTTACTTTTTTGGGGGGGGTACTGGGAATTGAACTCATAACCTTGCCCTTGCCAGGCAGGTGGCAGAACCACTGAGCTAAATCCCTGGCCCATCACTTCCTTTTTAAATAAACCAATCTTTTTTTTTGCGGGGGGGGGGGGATCAAACTTGGGACCTTGCGCTTGAGAAGCAGGCATGAGCCACCACTGAGCTAAATCCCTGGCCCCTAAAATAAACACATCTTTAATGTGATATCCAAAGTAGAAAGTACTAAATCAAATTCTTTGTCTAGCTATTTTTATGGACCAGTAAGTCAACTTGCCCATTTCTAAATAACAAGGTGTGGTGGCGCATACCTATTATCCCAGCACTCCAGAGGCTGAGGCTGGAGGATCACTGAGTTCGAGGCCAGTGTGGACTACATAGTGAGTTCAAGGCCAGCCTGCTGGAATGCACAGTAAGACCCCTTCTCAAAAAACCAAAAATAAACTGGGTGTGGTGATACATGCCGGTAACCCCAGCACTGGGGAGGCTGAGGCAGGAGGATCGCCATGAGTTCAAGGCCAGCCAGGACTACATAGTGAGTTCAAGCCAGCTTAAATTACATATCAAGATCCTGTCTCAAAAAACCAAATACCAAACAAAAAACTAAAAATAAATAACAAGGAAATATGAATGGTGTATATTTCCATTCAACCAAAATAAATTTACTGTGGTTCTAATGAAGAATGTACTGGCAGCCTGTGAGCTCCAAGAGAACATGGCCCGGGCCTGATTTATCACAGGAACCAGGTGCCCAGGGCAACTACGAGTGAGCACTGGTACAGGGTTCACTGCTGTGTCAGTGCTTCATCCCCATACCTCTTAGATACACACAACACTGCCAAAGGTGGGAAATGTTTCCCAGGGTCTTTCTTTTACAAATCCCCCAATAAAAAAAGGTACAAGCTGTGAACGTCTGCCAATATTGAGATGAACACAGGAAGCATTAAGTACGGATGCCCGTTCAGACTTTATTACATCACCTGTGCAAGAACCTAGTGCAGATAACCCATTTTCCAAAACCTTTTCTAACTCCCGTATCATTTTTCCTTTGTTGGAGGTGCTGGGGATGGAACCCAAGGTCTTGTGCCTGATAGCCAAGGGCGCCACCACAGCTTCACTCCCAGCCCACAATTTCTAAAGGACATTTCATTTACAAGGTTCCCTTTGCAGCAAATGAGACTAGCTAGCCACTGGGATGAGGCCGTGTCTCCAGCTTTCCCTGGCTGCTCTCTTCCGTTGCAGAGCCTCTGCTGAAGCACATGCGCCTGGCCTCGGAGATCACGGTGCCCACGGTTTGCGCCCTCTGCGTGCTCATCGCAGCGATGCTGCTCATGGTCCTGCTTCGGGGCCTGCGCTGAGACCAGCACTGATCCCGGGGCAGCTGCACCTCAGGGAGATCCTCAGACCTGTCCTCTCTGCTGCACGGGATGGGACGTTGCACACGTGTCTGTTGCAAGGCTCTGGGCTAACAGCTTTCTTTTTTCCTCTTTTTCATATGTGCTAGGATTTAAGATTAGAAAAAAAAATAGTGTGAATGAAATAAAACTCACCTGTGATCTCTCCTCTCCTAAGGACCAGAGTGTACAGTTCTGTGACTTGATTTTTTTGTCATTTTAAATTTTCCCAGAAATGTTATTGTTCAATACAAATGACTGTCATCTCAGCACTGTCCTATGTGAAGGACAGTGTCACCCCAGAGACAATGAACCTTCCTGGTTGTAGATCTGTTAGCCGACTAGAAGAAAGCACTGGGTAGGCACCACAGGAATGAGCATGTGTACTTTTCTGAGATCAACTTCTTACGATAAATTCAGTTCACTGTAGGCAGGCACAGTGGCGCATGTCTGCAATCCCAGCACTCAAGAGGCTGAGACAGGAGGACCGTCCTTAGTTCGAGGCTGGCCTGTACTACATAGTGAGAATCAAGGTCAGCCTGAACAACATGGCAAGACCCTGTCTCAAGAAAACAAAAATATGGGCTGGTGATTTAGCTCAGTGGTTTCGCTGCCTGCTGCGCAAGCGCAAGGACCCGAGTTCAATCCCCGGTACCAAAAAATATAAATAAATAAATAAATTCAATTTATTATACCCAATGAAATAACACAAAAAGCACTACAGAATATCTTTTAAATATTGCATTAAAATAAATATTATATATATTTACACATAGGTAACCAGGTACTTTTTCTTTTAAATAAAGGTCCATTTTATTCTTTTTTTTTGTCCTAATTTTTTCCAATTTATCCTTAACGCTAAAATGCTAACATTAATCTCCATTTATTTGGGAACAAAACATGGCTTACAAAGCAATGAGAAAGTTAGGCATTAATTATTTGACTCCATTTAGTTTTGTTTCAGAAACAAAGTAAAACTACAAAATGTTATTTCATTAGTTCTTTTGATTAATGCTATCTCAAATCAAAAGATTTTAAACAGTGCTTACATCTGGGCTTTAGCATGCAACTGGACTGAGGTAGAATTGTTTTACTTTGTTGTTGCGTTAACCACGTAACAGCTTGCCCCAAGCGACACTTGGGCAGCGCATCTGTTCATGAACTGACTCTCCTGGGCATCGCTTGGGCAGGCGTCATTTAAACCAGTCATTTCTTCTATTGAATAATTTGATAAATTTGATATTTCCTGTTATATTACCTTACAAAAACTAATGAAAAAAATGCAATTTTTGGTCTTCTTGTATTTAAAGATTGGACTAAGTGGTTAAGGACTGAGCCCAGGGCCTTACGTGCACTAGGCCAGTGCTCTTATCACTGAGCTATGACCCCAGCCCATTTTTATTTCGGGACAGTGTTTCACTAAATCGCCCAGGCCGGCCTCCAGCTTCCCAGATCGGCCTCCTGTGTAGCTGCAACTCCAGCTCACACCCCTGAGTCCATCTCAAAGCGTTTTTGATAAAACTTCCCCTTCGATGTCACAATGGTATGTTTGTTCAGGATTTTGAAATCAAACTCTCTTTCTAATGTATAGATTTAAAACGCAAAGGAATTACCACCATTTAAAAAATATTTTTTTCATTTCCTTGGTTTTAGGATTAAACTGATCTAGTAGGCTGACTACAAAAGGTAAAAAAGAAATTAAGACTTCCACAGCTCAGTAAGCTTTTTAATGTGTTTACTAATAATCCATATTCTTTAAAAAATTATTTTTTAATAATATTTTTTAATAATTTAAGAATTTAATAATTCTTTTTTGGGGGGTTAATGGGGATCAAACTTAGGACCTTGCACTTGCAAGGCAGGTGCAGCACCGAGCTAAATCCCTGGCCCAATAATCCTTATTCTTAATGTATCAAATCAACATTTAGAAATAACTAAAAAGCCGTGTGTGGTAGCCCACACCTGTAATCCCAACTCTCAGGGGGCTGAGGCAGGAGGATTAAGAGGTGGTGGCCACCTGGGGTACATAGCAAGATTGTATCCAAAGAAAGAAAGGAAGGAAGGGAGGCAGGGAGGGAGGGAAGGAGGGAGGGAGGGAGAAAAGAAAGGCCTTTAATATCTTATAGTGTCTTTGGAGAGAACACAGTGAACATAAATACCATGGCAGTGAGGGCCCCAGCATCCTTTTACTTGAAATGCACCTGGCTGCAGGTGACCATGGTGGTAAAGGACATCCTTTCTTCCAGGCTCCCATTTAGTGTTAAATCAGAAAAATCTGTAACCAAGAAGACGGAGCAATCAGAACTGCACAACCCCTGGCAACTTTTCCACTGTGTACAATGCTTTTATGACAAGACTACAATCAAAAGGTCATGAACAGCACGTGTCTTCAACTTGAGAGAATCTGTTAGCACTCAGCCAGGATGACTCATTTAAATATTAACCCTCTGGATGTACTTACTACATAATTAAACACCTGAAATCTGAAACAGATTTTGAAGAAAAATATTTGGGAATGTATTGCTTTATTTTTTGTGCTATATCAACTAAGGTTAAATAACTGCCCTTTTTCCCATCTTAACATGCATTTCAGGAAAGAAATTCTACTTAGGATTTAAAGCCTTAGAATTAGACACGTATCCATTTTGCTTCCCAAAGACTGACTGTTGCATTTCAAAAACAAATGGTCCCCTTACCATTTAGATGGGATCATGCCCACTTCTTCAGGTCAACACTGTGGTGTCCACTGCCCCCACCCCCTTCCACCATTACCAACTATCACTTACTCAGCACCCACTGGGGGGCGCTCAACTCGATCCCCTTCCCCCACCCACTAACTCCAATCGTTATTCTCTTTCCGTGGCAGCTGAAAGTACACTTTCTCAGGCGCTTCAGGTTTTGATGCCAACTGTTTTACACAAGAGCATGATACAACTAGTTATCTTGAAAAAAGATGGTTTTTGACCTAAGTGTTCGGTCCAGTGAAATAAAAAAATCTAACTTCTTTGAGCCCAGCATGGTGGTGCACACCTGTAATCCCAGCACTCCGTGAGGCTGAGGCAGGAGAATGGCTGAGAGCCTGAGCCCAGCCTGGGCTACAAAGTAAATTTGCAGCTAGCCTGAGCTACAGGGCGAGACCTTATCTCAAACACAACAACAAAAAAAACCCCACCAGAAAATCTAACTTCATTAATAGCCACCTTTAGTAAAAAATAAATCATTATTAGCTTTTAATATTTACAACTAATCGCCAGGCATGGTGGCACATACCTGCAATCCCAGCACTCAGGAGGCTGAGGCAGGAGGATCGCCATGAGTTTGAGGCCAGCCTGGGCTACAGAGTGAGTTGAAGGCCAGACTGAACTGTATAGAGACCCAGTCTCAAATAAAAATAAAAATTTACAACTACTTGAATGATGTTTCTATGACACCTGAATCAAAATATATCTGAGGAAGAGATTGTTTTCTGGAAAATATCTACAAGGTATCAATCAGTCAAATAGAACTATATATACTCCGAGCAGTGTCTCATTAAGGCCTCTGAAATCTTCTTGGACTCTGTCAGAAAACTATAAGGTCTGCTTTCAGATAACCCTGGCACTATCTGAATGCAGCCCTTCAGAGCTGTGTGAGAGACAGTGGCACCTCAGTCCATGAGCATGAAGACGGCTACAGTGATTCTGGAGGGGATGCTGGATGGCAGGGGTTAGTTAAGATGCTCTGGCTAACAGGGAGCTCTCACTAACAGGGACTTCTCTAACAGGGCCTGAAGGTTGGCCCACTCCAGCTGTGGAGAAGGCTCGTGTGAACAGCTAGCGTTTCCATCCTGTGACCTATTCTTACTTCCATGTCCCTCTGGCTTGACCTCATCCACTGACAGGGCCACCAGCCCAGACAATGGGAACAAGCATCCTTCCACGATTATCACACACTGAAGTTTGCTAAGCAGTACACTAGCATAAAAGTCATAATTTTTGGTACCAGGGATCGAACTCGGGACCTTGCACTTGCTAGGCAGGTGGCAGAACCACTAAGCTAAATTCCCAGCCCCCATAATTTTTTTTTTTAAAGTATGTTTTACACTTAAAGAGTTCAGAACAATTATTTAAAACTGGGCACAAGAGCTATAGTAATGATTCCTCCCAGTAAGATCTGGTTTATTTTCTGTTGGGATAATTTGTCTGAGCAGACTGCAAACCATCTTTACCAGGTTTGTGATGACGCAGGTGGTCCACAGGTAAGCTGTCACTCAGCTGCCAAACTGTCTTAACCTTCTTTTGACCACCGTTTATTTCTACCTTCCATTTTTGTGGCTTCTCACTAAGAAAAGAAGAAAAACTGTAAAGACAACACAACAAACAGCTGTTTCCTTCCTTCCTCTATAGTCAGTTAGTGACATCCTTATGTGATAAGCACCGAGATGACAATTCCCACCCTGCACAAGTACAGCCGAGGGATGGGGACGAACAAGAATGACAACTCATGAACGGGACACATAATGGGTTAGAGGGCAACAGGAGGTACAACCCTAACCGAGCTTAGGGACTGGAGAGAATCTTCAGACTGTGGTGCCTGGGCCGAGTGTGAAATGACAGAGTCAGTAAGGCAGACAGCGGTCCTGGCAAAGAAAGGCCAGGCACACAGGCACTGAAAGCCAGAGTGTGGAGAAGAACGTCCCTCACTCAAAAGGGAAGCAACTCTTACCACTCAGTAGACTGGGGCAGGAGGACTGCCACAAGTTTGAGGCCTCAAGGCTTGGGCTACAAAGTGAGTTCAAGTCCAGCCTGCACTCCACAGTGAGACCCTGTCTCAAAAACAAAAAGGAAGCAGCAAGGCCTGATGGCACTTAGAGAGAGGTGCATGGCCAGGCCCAGAGGGCTCACAGGCCACACTAAGACATTGGAATTACTGTCCTAAAGGTAACAGGGACCAAATCATTGCAAGATTTGAATTTCAGAAGAAAACAGCAGCAGCAGCAGCATAAAGAAGGAAGATAATGGAAGTTAAGAAAAGTGTTTTATCAAAGCCGGGTATGGTGGCTCATGTCTGTAATCCCAGCACTCAGGAGGCTGAGGCAGGAGGATCACTTCGAGTTCGAGGCCAGCCTGGACTAGTGAGTTCAGGGCCAGACTGGACTACAAAGGGAGACCCTGCCTCAAAAAAAAAAAAGTAAAAGAAAAGAAAAGAGGGTTTTATCAGAGTCCAGGTATGAAGTGAAGCAGAGGCAAAAATACTAAAACACTGATGGTGTGAAAGTGTGGAGAAAGGGACAGATTCAAGAGGCACCAAGAGGGTCAGGACGTGGTGAGCATTTAAAGAGGGAGGGGGGAGGGACAGCAAAGCATGGTGAGAGATCCCTGGGCTTCTATCTGCACAGCAGGCAGGGAATCACGAGGGTCACTTGAATGAGGAAATACAGGAGGAACAAAAGGTGTGCGGAAGGGGATAAGGGGCTTGGTTTGTTTTTTTAAACTTTTTTTTTTTAACTGACAGGAGTTTCTATTTTGGTGGTGCTCTTGGGAAGCTGAGGCAGGAAGATCACCACAGCTTTGTGAACAACCTGGGCTACATAGTGAATTCAAGGCAAGCCTGCACTCCAGTGAGACCCTGTCTCAAAAATACAAAAAAATATTATATACATTACTTGAAATATAGATACATATACATGTAGAATGGCTAAATTGAGCTGATTAGCATGTACAATACCACAAAGTTATCATTTCTGTGGTGAGAATACTTAACGTCTATTTTCTTAGCACCATTCACGAACTCAGCGCATGGTCAGTACTCACGGCTGTCGCACTGAACAGCAGCTCTCATATGTAGTCCTCCACCGGCACTGAACGCACCCAGTGTCAGATCGGGACCACCTTCCGCACTTGAGGCTGGGAACTCATATCTAACAGGCTCTTAGAAGCTTGGTGCTACGGCTGAGGAGGAGCTGGAGGTGACACTGTGGGCCTCATTTGCCCGGGGGAACAGACAGCTAGGAGTGAACTCATCACCCAGGTAAGAGACGGTGAGGACAAAGGAGAGGTCAGGAGAAAATCCACAGATGAGAAGCAGACAGAGAAGAAAGAACTTGAGAAGAGAACTATTCTCAGTCTTGGAGGTAAATCAGACAGGGAGAATGAAAATAAGACAGAATGCTATGTCACAGAAACCAGGAAAAAAGACAAGTTCAAAAAAGCATCAGTGCTAGGGCCAGGGATTTAGCTCAGTGGTTCTGGCACCTGCCTTGCAAGCACAAGGTCCCGAGTTCAATCCCCGGTACCAAAAAAAACCACCAAACAAACAAAAGAACTAAACATAGGATAGAAACAGTGGTTGTAAGCCGGGTATGGAGGCACATGCCTGTCATCCTGGCATGCAGGAGGCTGAGGCAGGAGGATCACTGTGAGCTCAAGGCCAGCCTGAACTACAAAGTGAGACCCTGTCTGAAACCTAAACAATGGTGGTAGCAGGAGAGAAATTTCAAGTCTGTCATATGTGGAGGGGAAATTCAGGGGAGACAGTCATATGTAGCAACCCCCATATCTGACTGGACGACCACATTATTTATCTAACACCTCAGCCTCATGGTTTCCTACCTTTCCCAGTCCCAAATGGTTCTTTCACTCCTGAAGCTGTATACTCAGATCCTGATCATTTTTCTCCCGACCTGTCATTTCCCTGGCTGCATTTTCCCTTACTTCTTATTCTACAACAAAACTGAATTGAGAGCAAAATGAAAGACTAGAGGCTCTACAGTCTAGAAAGAAGAGACACAAGGCCCGAGAGAAGGGGGAGAACTAGCAGGCTATGGCCGGGGAGCAGGCCACAGGTTAAGGTTTCAGTGGTCAAGCAGCTCTGAGCCATGAGGTCCCCAAGGAACATGGGCACCAAAGTTGTCAAGAATCATGGCTGGACTCAGAAATTGCTCACCTCTGGTACAAGTTTTTTACAGAAGCTGGTCTGACTGGTAGCTGAAAAATGTGTTGCTCATCAAGGGGATTTTGTTTATAATATTTTATGCAGGATCTAAAAAAAAGAAAGAAAACAATCATTTTTGGAAAAAAACAGAGCTGTTTGGGGATACTTTCGAACAGTTTAAAGTGCACAGGGAAACATTTTATTGAGTACCACTAACCACTATGAAGAGAATGGTTTTGTTTCTTTTTTAACTTTGTAATAGGTTTTTATTTTTGCTTTTTATCTATTACAGTGTTTGAAACCTAAAGAAATACATTTTCTCTTCAAATTTGGATGTGTATATAAATATTAGAAGAAAATGATTATAGAGGTACAAAAGTAAAAAAAAAAAAACACCCACACACAAAAAACTTAGCTAATTATTTTAAGGACATCTAATTCACTTTGTAAAAGTTAACATATTTCTCATAAACATAAAAATATATTTAATTTGAGCCCAAATATAGGCTTCAGTGGAGAGAAAGAGGCATCTGAAAAAAACAGGAGACAGAAGACAACAGACAAGCTTCACAGTTTTCAGAATCTGGGGAATTAAAGCTACTGATCTGTAATAAAAAATCTTAGATTCTGTGAATAAGAACCATTTTACACTTTTCCCATTATACAACTGGGCAATTCTAAATCTGGAAAAGACAACAAACAGTTCATGTATTTCTAGTCTGAGGCCTCCAACATGTGCGAGACAGCAGCACTCCACGTGTGAGAATGACTGCAGTGAGTCTTTAGTCCAACTGGTCAGAAGTCCTCGTTACAGCAATGCTACTGACAGCCTCGGTATGCGATCTGATTTCACTCATTACCACGCAGATGACTAGTTTCACTCAATTTATAGGGACGTAAGGAGGAGAAAAAACAATACTTATTCAGGACCTATTATGTTAGGTAGCTTACATACATTCTATCATCATCTAATCCTCAGAACAAACGCATCGAGTTACTAGACCCTTTTAACAGGAGGAAACAAGATTCAGGGAGATGAAACTTGTAAGGAACTCAGAAATGATACAGCCAAACCGGATTCCTTTTGAATCCAAAGCCTTTCCTTCCTCTGACCCTGACCTGGACTCCTGCTAATGTGAAGACAGACAGGGTGAACAAACACAGTCTAGCTTAACTGGCAATAAAACTGGACATAGTCTGGCTGCTATTTTTTTGGAAAAGAATACATTTCTATGTAAGCAGACAAGAAATACTCACTGTGTTAAAGAAAACAGGAACTCGTGCTGAGGCTTAATGAAAAGCATGCAACTGACTAAGATCTCTAGGATGTGGTGGAGTTTCTGAACACGATGAACCTGTTCTTGTATCTCTACTGATGGAGAAACGAAGTATTCCTGGATTGGAGAAGTATACGCAAAATAGGGAGTTAAAGGATAAGCAGCATCTTGGGAAAGAATATAGCCATGTTCCCTACATTATGCCTAGTAACAGGGAGGAAAAAAACACAGGGAAGGCACTTGGACAGATTTACCACTACCTATCATCCTTCACTCCTTTGTAAGTGAAGTCTTAAGTAAATGATTGTACATATTCTCTGGTAAAGGCAAACTGCAGAACCACTTCACCCAGGACCCCATGCAGGTAGCCACTCCCACCCACCAGGATCTCCTGAAGGAACGAAAGGGAGACCCACTATGCACTTGCTAAACTGCTCTAAAAACAGACAGTAAACTTCAGCTACCAAGAAATTTAGCAAGTGTTCTGACAAGCTTTCCTTTTCACACACAACTGGTAAATTGGTGCAGTCTTTTGGAAAAGAAATTTGGCAATGCATGCCAGTGTTACAAAAGGCTCAGACCTTCTAATCCCATTTCTGAGAACTCTTCCTAAGAAAATATCCATGGCCAACACAGCAGGCGGAATCTGACAACGGCCACCAATGTTCTGGCATCACAGAGTGCACATCTTGTTTAATTCCTTCCCCTGGAGTGAGGCCAGAGCCTGGGTCACGATGGGAATTGCTGCTGTGATCAGATCAGTAAATGACCAGGAGTTAATCAAGAGAAATCACAGCCCGGTCACTATGGTGACCCACCAGGGGAGCCCTTTAGGAGGAGTGACGGAGCCAACGGTTGTTCTGTGGAGAGGAGTATGGCAAAGGCTGCGAGCAGCCTCAAGGACCTGAGATTGGTCTTGAGCCAATATACTGAACGAATACATGGAAGAACGTAAATTCTTAGGAAAATAATCCCTTAAGTATAACCTAATGGTTCAAGAGAATATAAAACAAATATTCTTTCCGAGGGCTGCAGGTACTCCCTAAGAATTCTAGAGACAGGAGAGTTGTGGCAGCACAGTAGCGTGAGCAGGACTACTACACAGCACAATCACAGACGTACAGAGGGTGAGAGATGACACTGAATGGGTGATTCTGTCATTGTCTGACTAGGTGGTAATAATTAAGGGCATTGATTGTCTTACTAATCTTTTCTAGGACCTAAAACAGAGACTAGCACATTATAAGCATTTAATAACTGCATGGAAGATAGCTGAATAAAATAAATTTTCGAATAAAAAAAACCTCACCAAATGATTCAAAGATGCAAGCTCTTGACCTATTAAAAAAAAAAATATATATATGTAAATAAACTTTAGGAATTACCCATGACATGTTAAGGATCCTAGGTAAAAATTTTCATACTTCTTAAATGAAAGAGATGACCAATGTAAAAAGTTCCCCACAGG